AAATGGGCTGATTCATTATGTCACGCTCATAACTGAGCCTGAACTCCAACAGGGAACTGCTGCTTTTCCTTTCCTAATCCTTACTATTGTCATTTCCTCTACTTATTTTGTATGTTTGTCACACTCTTGTGACCTGCTATTTCCGGGGTGCCTTGATAGCCGAAGCAGGCCTGGTGCTGTTGAAGCTAGAGAGGTGAACAGAGTAAGTCTGATTCCCTGTTACTGTTAGGACTTCTCTGTTGACACCCACCCCTTGGCGCTCATATGACCTTATGCAGTTGTGAGCGCCGTCAAACCCTCTACTAATTTTTAAAAAAGAAGAAATCTTTAAGCCATTGCTCTTAAATTGGAGATAAACTATTATGCCACTGGATGTTATAATAGGCAATGCCCATTGGCATAATCTGTTTCTGTTTTGTCGGTTTGGGGTGAGGATACCGGAACTAAATTTTTGTTGGTAGCCTCGGGCTAGCCGTATCCTCCACGGTAGGGGTGGGTGGTTTTGTTGTTGTTGTTTGTTTGTTTTTTTTGTTTTGGGGGGGGGAGCAAAACCGACGAAACTGACAATGACCTTCAATAGCAAACGCATTTGTTTTCTAGGTCGCGCATTGGGCGATCGGTTTGGGCAGTTGGTCTATTTATAGTGTGCATTGAAGACGCAAGAAACCGATCGTCCAATGTCTGTGGAGGAAATGGTTAAGCCATTGGACGTAAGTGTCGGGGACGTATTTGGAGACAATCATTTAGCCATTGGACGTAAATATCGGGGACGTATTTGGAGACAAATCATTTAGCCATTGTACGTAAATATCGGGGACGTATTTGGAGACAAATCATTTAGTCCTTGGGTCAGGTTGTTGTTGATGTTGTTGTCATTATTGTCGTTGTTCTTGTTATTGTTGTTGTTATGTTGTTGTTATTATTGTTGTAGTTATGTTGTTGTTGTTGTTCGTCTCTATTGTTCTCTGATTCTTCCACCCCTTCCCCGCCCTTTTTTTCTTTCTCTCGCTTTTTGCGCCC